TTAGATACACAAATAAGGAGACGAAGAGAATGGTATGTGATTGCTTTTTAACAGAGGAAGAAATTGAAAGAGGAGAACTAGGTTGTGGAGAAGACTGTCTAAATAGACTTCTTATGATAGAGTGGTACATATTATATATTCATACATTTAAATTAAATGTAAAACGTTAATAAAAAATAAGCTTTATACAATATGTTATGTATTTTCTAGCGGCCCTCGATGTGTAGTAGGTGATCGTTGCACAAATAAAAGATTTCAAAATTGTGAATATGCAAAGTGTGAAGTATTTAGAACAGAAAAAAAGGGATTTGGATTACGAGCTATGGTTGACTTGTTAGCGTAAGTAAGCTTTTTTACAAGTATAATATAATAAAATTCTTTATTAATAAATGCTATTTTTAAACATCAGAGGAGAATTTATAATGGAATATGTAGGTGAAGTAGTTGATCCAAAAGATTTTCGACGTAGAGCAAAAGAATATTCAAAAGATAAAAATAAGCATTATTATTTTATGGCATTAAAATCAGATCAAATCATAGATGCAACTCTGAAAGGAAATGTTTCTCGATTCATAAATCACAGTTGCGATCCAAATTCTGAAACTCAAAAAGTAAGTATAACTAGTAAAAATAAATTTTAAATTATATATATAGAGCTTTATCTTTATAATTGAAATTTGTACAGTGGACAGTGAATGGTGAATTGAGAATTGGCTTTTTTAATAAAAAATTTATAGCTGCTGGTGAAGAAATTACATTTGACTATCATTTTCAACGTTATGGGTATGTATGTTAATAGTATTTTAGTTGATTAGTATTTTGGTACGTTAATGATATGTAACAAAGTATGTCCCTTGTGCAAAATTTTATCGCACAATTAGCAAAGAGGCACAAAAATGTTTTTGTGAAGCACCCAATTGTCGTGGTTGGATTGGTGAAACGCCTGAGGAAGAAAAAGAAAAGATTGAAAAGAAAGAAAAACGTGAGAAAGATATGAAGAAAAAGAAAGGTGAAAAGAAACAAGCTGATTATATGGAAGATGAAGATGTGAGTAACATAAATATAATTTTTGTTTTTACTAATTTGAACTATTTAATAATTCATTTGATTTATTTTTAATATTATTTTAGTTGGAGGAAGAAATAGATAAACTATGCTCAGGTGGTTTGAAAAATAGAGCCCATACATTGACATTAAGTAGATTAATGGTACGTAGCAGGGAATTAGAACACAGGACACGGCTTTTACGTCTCATACAAAGCGGAGAACAGCCATGTCGAAGATTATTTTTGGATTATCATGGTTTACGTTTGATTTGGAGTTATGTTATGGATATTTCTACTAATGATTCTGATGAAGCACAACAGTTTCGACTAGAAGTTTTGAAAACCCTAAATACACTTCCAATCCCCAATAAAACAATGTTAATGGATAGTAAAATTTATAATGTGGTAGAAAAATGGTCAAGACGATTGTATTTTTCTTTGAGTGGAGATTCTCCTGAAGATGATCAAGGAAAATCAAAATCAAATAGTGATGAATTGCCAGTTAATTATGACAGCAATGAAAAAAGAAACTCTTATTCACTGACTGATATAGAAAAACAAGAAAATAATATTGAAATTACTGACATAAAATCTGATAACACAGATCAAAATCTTATTCCTGAATTAGCTTTGAGTCTTTTAGCCGAGTGGTCAAATTTAAAAGAAGTTTTTCGTATACCGAAAAAGGAAAGAATTGAACAAATGAAAGAACATGAGAGAGAAGCAGATCGTGGATACAGAGAAGAATTAGAAAAAGATGAAAAAAGAGGAACGTCGTATGACAGGCATAGATCTGATAGATATGGGAGAAACGAAGTAGAGAAACGTGGGGATAGAAGACGAGGACGAGAATCTCCAGAATCTGAACATACTCGAACAAAAGATAAGAGAATAGAAGAAAGAAGTAGCTTAGTTCCAATTCCGCGAATGACGAAATACGAGCGCAGACAATTATTTGCTTTAAAAGTAGCTAAAGAGGAAGAAGAACGACAGCGTCGTCAACAGCAAGAATCGTGGCAAGATCATGAAACTAGATGTTTGGCATTAGGTATAGATCCTCATACCACGGCTATGGTAGACCCACAAACAGGATATCCTGTTTTTTACAATCCATCAATTGGACAATGGCAACAATATCCTACACAAGGTTTTAATCTATATATATATATTTTTATACATTTATGTTGCATAGTTCTTAAATGATGTAAGTCCAAAAATTTGACTTTATAATGAACAATTTCTATTGGCCTTGAAAGAAAGGATAATTTGTCATAACTTATACCTATGTATATTATATTTCCTAAAAGCCATTGAAATTGACTTACACCATTTAGAAACTAAGTCCATTTCTTCTTATATGATTATTTCATTCATATAAAATTTTATTATATAGATGGAGAAATAAATCAGCAATGTACTTCAGTGTATGTAGCTGGACCACAGGCAGTATCTAGCCATACTCAATCCGGAATGGTACCGCAAAGTTCACATGTCCTAGCACCATCAATTTCTTCTGAAATATCACCTGGCATGTCGAGTAACATACCTTCAGGTGTACCTCCAGTGGTCTACACGTTAAGTCAAACGCCTGTATATAATCAAAGCACAACAGCTTATTCTTTACTGTCTCATTGTCATCAACAATACCCTGAAGGCCAATTGCCACTCTCGAATAATTTAGTTTCTAGCGGAACATCGGTTCCGCTCCAAACCGAATCTCTTTACGAACATATTGAAAAACAGTCAGATCAACAATTTTCTGCTACATTCAGACAATCGCAGCCTGAAGCACCTCCTATAGATTTACCACCCAAATGGAAGAGTGCAACTGATAGTAGAGGCAGAACATATTATTATCATGTAAAAGAACGAATATCGCAGTGGTTGCCTCCTCCGCCAGATCATATTGGAGTTCAACCAGATTCGTCATCGACTTCAGAATCTAGTGAAGAATCTAGTTCATCCAACGAAGAAGATGAAGAAATTGACGAAGACAATAACGAAGAATCAAGAAACGAAGAGTTAAGCTTAAATAACACTTTGATAGAAAAATCATTAAATGGTTCTAAGCATAATGTACCTAAAAAAAGTGCGGTTCATAATATAAGCGGATGTTCAGGTCTTTTTCCGGAAGGCAAGAAAAGAAGAGAGGGTTTAGTTCAAGAAAGAATTATTAGCGTACGTTATATTTCATGTTTTTCCTTTTTATTACAATTAATACGTATTTTTGTATTCATTCTTATATATTATGTTTGTATATTTTATAGCCACGTCGAGAAGAAGACCGTATGGATCACAAAACGCACAAAGGAATAAAGGAGAAATTACGACGTCAAAAAGAAAGAGCCAAGTTTAAAGAACACGTTGAGAAAATACGAAGACATCGCCGTAGTAACAAATCTAAATCGCATTCACGACATAGTTTAAATAAATTACAACTACCGTCGTCTGATTTATCCACAATGTCAGAGAGAAAGATTAAAGATACTTTTAGGATAAATATGGCGAATGTCATGGTACATTTTTTGAATCCGTATAGGAAAAACGATTGTAAACAAGGTAGAATAACAAATACGGAAGATTTTAAACATCTTGCTAGAAAGGTACGTTTGCAGAAGAAAATCTTTTTAAATAAATTTTTTTACGAATTATATTATTTTTTTTAAGCAGAAATGTTAAATTTAATTTTTTAATAATCTTTTCTGTTTTAGCTTACACATTTTGTACTTGCAAAAGAATTAAAACACTGTAAAAGTGTTGATGAATTACAATGTAATGAAAATGTTAAACACAAAGCTAAAGATTTTGTACGTAAGTATATGAGTAAATTTGGCGCAGTTTATCAGAAAAGCACTGATGAAGATTAATTATGTAACTTATGACATGAAATTGTTATTTATTATACGAATCCTTCACTTTGAACATTGTAATATATCTACTAAAAAAAATATATCCAAGTAATGCCTGTATGTAGATATATATATCTGTAATTATCATTATTGTAATATAGATGAATTTGTACATGCTTCATAAACATTCTGGTAATTTAGCCATTAAGAAATTAGCAAATTTCTAATTTCGTACATTCAATGTATAAACTTTATATTTTCATTTGGTAGATAATAATATGTATGTTATATCTTTAAAAAAAAATGCATTTTATGTCCTGCTATAATGTACATCTTGCATAATTATATTAAGTATTGATTTTGCCTTTAATTATCAGTTTTAAAAGATGACATTAAATATTGTATTGTGAAATAATCAATATCAAAAGTCTTAAATATTGTACATAATTATAAATTGTAAAAGAATTTTTAACTGTTTCATAAAAGTAAGTTGCAATTATTATCTTCTTAATGTGTATAAAAAGCAAATGAAATTAAAAATAATAAATTTTGCATTTACAAACTTATTTTCTATCTATTTAAAACTTTATGTATTATAGTTTTTTAGACAAGAACAATATATGCAAGTTTCAACGAAAAAAATGTTTGAATAAAAAAATTATTTATTATTAATAGGCTACAACTTATTGAAGTTGTTTCTCAGAAGTATTGTTTTCAAATACACCAAAAAGTTAATTTATTTCTTATAAAAAAATATTTGTGTAGAGATTATTCTTTTGCTATCAAAAAATTATATTTGAAAATTGACGTAAAACGGTCTTACAATTTGTAATATACATATGAATATTGTATTATGTATATATGTACATATTATTACGGTGTAGATATTTATACATACCTACAAATTTTTTTACACCAATACGTAAATATTAAAAGTTGAATAAATCTCTAAAGTAGTATGTCACATATCTCGTACATAATCGTATGTACATAATCTCGTTAACAAAATACATTTATTATTTTATTCTAAATAATTAAATTTTTAATTATTTAATTAAACGTTATTCTGAAATCAAGATCGACAACGCTTTTGGTCACTAGAGGCGCTAGTGAGTACTGTACATCAAGATACTGATATAACAATGTCCCAAGTATATGTAATTTTATATTACGTATAAATTAAATAAAACTCGTAAATGATTTTATTCTATAAAACATAGCTTACATATCTTAGATTATGTCAATCACGTGTTTTATTAAAATTTTACATATTTCAATATGTCAAAAATGAACGCGCGTTAGAAAAATTTGACGCACATTGACAACATAAAAATGCGATTCCGCTGTAGATTGAGAATTCGTCACGTCACATATATATAATATCTATGATATAGAACGACTTTTACGGTAAAAAACCTTACTTTTTACCTTGAGATAAGATATTATCATCAATAGAGAAGAAAGATATCTTTTACGGTTGAAGTGAGAATAAAATATTTTTCGAACAATGGATATTCTGAAACCCGAATTAATTTGGGTAGATGGCCGATGTTATAGAGTATTAGAAAATATTGAACGGACAGATGCTCGCGACGTTCCTCCTTACTTCGAAGACAATAATTACCATTTGGATGACAAAGATTGTGAGGATGAATATTACGATACAGATATAGAAATTGTACCATATGGATCAACAAAATTTAAACATACATTTCGTGTACCAAAGTATACAAATTTTTTAAGATACGTTATGTAATAAATTCAACATGTAACAATGATTAATGATTGCCACAATATTTTAGAGCATTTTTTTCATATATTATTGGAGCTAAACATGCAGTACGTAAAAGATTAGAAAGTGAAACTGGAACGTTAATACAAATTCCAAAATTAGGCCAAGATGGAGATATTGGTAATTACACTTTAAATTTTTGATTAAAATATGAAACTTTATTTTCATAATACAATTATGTATCTGTATTTTAACAGTAATAATTGGTTCTGATCGCAAAGGAATAGTAACTGCACGTCGGAGAATAAATTTATTAATGGAAGCAACTAGGAAGAAATTAGAATTTACACACTTTTTATCAATACCTTTAAATGAAGGTCATATAATAATGAAGTTTAATATGTTTAAAAATGAAGTCCTGACAAATTCAGGAAAGAAATCCAGAGGTGTGGATGAAACAATTTTCCAAACACCAAGTAAATTACATCTTACTATTGGTTTAATGACATTACTTGATGAAACAGAAAGAAATAAAGCTATAGAAGCTTTATATTATTGTAACGAGCATATTGTAAGGTAAAGAAAATAATATGATATAAAAAATATCTTCCGTTGTTACAAATTTGCTAAAGTTTATTTCATATCATGTTTTTATAACAAATTACAGACCTACCATTGAAAAATATGGACAAATTCCTATACACTTACAAGGAATTGATATAATGCAGGATGATCCTAGTGAAGCAAAAATTATATATGCAAAGCTAGTTAATAAAACTGAGGTTTTGCAAAAGATAGTAGATGAAATTGTAGACTATTATGTCAAGATAGGTAAGACAGCAAATAATACTTTTTAATAGTAGAATATGAGTGCATATGTTAAAGACATTAATAGCTTATACAACAAGAAGCATACTGATAGTAAAATACGTTGCTTAGGTTTAATAATCAAAAGTAAACGTCAGTCAAACAAACTGCATTTAACTCTTATGAATACAAAATTTCAAATAAATGAAGAAGAAAGAAATAGTAAAAACTTTATAACATTTGATGCAAGAGAAATATTGAAGGTAAATATATTTAATTATTTAAGTTGTAATATACTAGTTGTAACTAAGAAACTAACATTTTTTAGGCTCATGAAAATACAACCTTTGGCGAAACCATATTAAAACAAATTCACATATCGCAACGTCATACAATTGGTAGTAATGGATACTATCTAGCAACTGCAAAAATTAATCTACTTGAAGGTTTATAAATGAATTGTATATGAATTTATATATCCAATTATTTTTTAAAATACCAAAATTATGAGATGGCAATTGGATATAAATAATTTGTATAGGAAATACTTGGTTTAAAGATAAGATATTTTCTAAAAGTATATTAGCATGTTTTTTAAAGTTATTATCCTGTTTTAAATGAAATTTTGTATATTTCTGTTATTATATAGCTTTTATTTTACTAAAAGGTAATTTCATAAGGTAAATAATAACATTAAATATATCCATGATACTAGTACAAGCATTTATAATAAGTAATAATTGTAATTGATCATTAAAACTTGATGAGTTGTATTTATGTTTACAGATGAACCTGTGTAACAATTTGAAAATTCGATTTTCCTATATAATTCATTCTTTAGATGTATTTGCATACCAATGTAAATATTTTGGATTAAAATTCTACATAATTTCATAATGTAAATATCCTGGATTAAGTACCTACAAACTTTAATCTTTAAATGCAAAAAATGTTTTCAAAAGATTGGACAATATTTTTGGTGTTTTGTATATATCAAAATATGAAAAAAGGTCCTGTGTATTCAAGAAAATAAATTTTTCGAATTACAAGCAAAAGAATAAATGAATTTATAGTAAGTGTGCAAGCTGTTTTCGTAATTGTCTGTTTGCTAAAGTATGCCAGTAATAATTTCAAAACAACATATGAATAAAAATTATTGGTATTTTCTTTATGTAGTTAAATATTTTATTATATGTGTCAGTTTTGTTAATATTGCTGGACAATGGTAATTTATATTTCCTCGTTTATTTTATATGTATATATCGCTATGATAACTGTCTTATATGTTACAGTATAAAAAGTGTTTATTAACATGTCCTGTATCACACAGGCCAATAATAATCCACAATAGCAATTAAACATAAAGCTTCCATTGGACTAAAAAAGATATATTTTAACTCATTTTTTAGTGAATATATACGAAAGAAGATCTAGGTACCATGAATTCAGGCTTTCATGTCAAGTATTTTAATGTAAGTCTTTAACTCTTTTTTTAATCTCTGTTTATTCTTATTTTCTTGCAGTTCTGCATAGAAGAAAGATTTATTAAATTAGAATATTTAATTAGAAAATAGTCCTTATACTGAATTCCTGACACTTTAATCTCTTTTTATCTACTTTACTTCAGTAATTTAATATTGTACATATTCGACTACTTAATGAATGCTCTACTTCTATTAACTGTCACAAGTTATGGCTCACGAGATACAAAATGAGTTCAATATGTGTACAAACAGCCAAATATAAATTCAATATTCACTTTCAAAATGAGATTGATATAAAATGTTTTACACAGATTCTTTGTCACAAAAAAACTATTATAATTAAAGTTAATATAATTCTTGTCTTCAAATAATTCACAAACAAAAATTTGTATTGTATGTAAATTGGTATATAGTATATATTTACTTTTTATTATATTGAGATTTTCTCAAGTAACTTTTTAAGAAATTATAAAATTATAAAAATATAACGCGTTTGCATTTTTTAAACCTTGAAGATCCAGAGCATTATTGTTCTCTGTACTTTTTAAACAAGGAGATCTTCATGTATGATATTTTTATATAAATTCAAAATAAAGTATTTTTTCAATATTGTAATTTTTCTTATTTCACCTAATGTTATTTTATCGCTTTAATATACTTTTTGTTTTTTTATTTTTTTGTAACGTGATGAATATCACGATCAGATCGAAGACGCATGCGTAATGAGTACTAAAAGAGTGTCATACGTCAAAGTAGTAATAAACGAATCACCGTAAAAAGAACTCTAACCTCTTCCCTCTTGCATGTAATATTTAATACGAAATATTAACAAACACATATTTGTAAAGAAATTAATTTATAATTACTAATATTAATTCGATATAGAAATATTAAATATATCTGGTATAGAAATATTTTAAACATATAACAATATGTCACTAAATTTTTTTTAAGCTAAAAATTTCATTATTTGGAATTGGACATCACGTAATTTTATCCTACGATATGTTTGTTAGATATTCAAATTATTTTTACAATTTTTAATATCGCTAATCACTAATTGGTATAATTATTATTAAACATAAACAATTGATAATATCAATTTGCAATAATATTAATTATTTTAGTCCTAGTAACAAGTTATTGAAATTTTCATAACAATAATGGATCATCTACAACAAATTGAATAATTTGTTGCTTAATCATTTAATATTTTTAAATGTGCAGGATAAAATACACATGTACCATCTCTACCATGATACAATGTATATTATGTTATATATGATATAATACATGCTAATTAGTAGTTAGATATTGACATTAAATTATCTGATTCTTCAGGTTTATGAAAAATGCATGGAATCAAGAGAATATTAGTTTTCTGTACATTAACAATCATTTTACCAATTCTACTTCTTGCGACACCATTATATTTACGTCATAATTTCTATGCCGATGTAACATATGCTGTAATGAATTCTGATATCTTGGAAATTACAGATGGTATTTCTACAATATTTTGCTCTGTAAATACACTTTAATTTTGATTATATATGTATATGAATTATATATAAAATCAAATATAAATTATTATTAATAATGATATATAGGCACATATTTTACGAATGAATAGAACATTTAATGCGTTCCAAATGTCACACAAACCAGAAATAACTTCATATAAAAAACATATACGTCTTAAAAAAAGTATGGTTTTACCAGATGATACATTGGAGTACTGGGGATTTTATCTCTTAGGAGGATCAAGCGTGGCACTTTCTGTGTGCTCAAGGTAATGCAATGTTAGAATATTATCATATTTTTTAGTTAATATATAATTGCATATAATAATTATTTGCATAGATTTGAAGGTGCTTCTATACTCGTTGTTAAGGGAGAACGAAATTTGCGAACATGTGGAATGTTAGAACATCACAATACACAAATTGTGGAGGGTATATTTTTACCAGAAGCAAAAAAACAAGTTAAAGTAACATTTAAATCAAATGCAGAACAAATTAATTCTAATAATACTATTATACAGAACAATTACAATAAAACATTAAATGACATTGAAGATATATTGTTATGGGATCATACATTGAACAATACTGATCAAAATATTGGGGCACACTATCCTTATTTAAACAGTTTTATGTCTAATATGGAAAATTATGAAGAAGAAGCAAAAGAATTATTACAGGATAAAGATATTCAACATATTAAAAGGTCTCTGGAAAAAGAAACTATACATACTACCAGAAGATTAAGACATGCTAGGAAGAGAAAATATAAAATGCAAATGAAAGAAACAAGAAAAAATATTACATTGCAGGAAAGAAAAAAAGCACAAAAGAATTATAAAATCAATTCTTATTTTAAAAGAGATATATATAATAAATACAGTTTATTTCTAAAAAGATTACAAAGAAGCTTGAATTTAGAAGATAATGGAAAGGATGATATTAATAACGAAATGAATGTGCAAGATAAAAAAAAATCAAAAAAAAGGATCAAAAGAAATCAAGGGGTTGTTAACCCAACACTTTTATTTGATCAAGGTATTCAACATGGTGGAAATGCAGGAAATGTAACAGATACTAATGAGGATTCTTCTGTATCCAGTTTTGAAAATGAGTTATTTAAATGTTATGGGGGATCAATTTTAATGGCTCAAGAATTTGCACCTTCTGAAAAATGCACTGATGTCACTTATTTACTGAACGGCAAACATATGCAAGCTGTGCACAATGTCATAGAAGATGGTTACTATTATTATATCTTTTATAGTGATAATGATATCGTATCGAATGATATATATGCATTATTTGATATTTATAAACCCATTTTTCATTATGAGAATATAACAAATTCTTGTATAAATCAAACAAAATGTTTCTTTCCAATTAATATGCTATCTTCTGATAGAGTAATTGTTGAAATACCAACTAAAGATGGTCTTGAATACGAAATAGATGATGTTAATTTGCTTTTATCAAGTTGTCATCCACGAATTGAAGTGTATATATTTTTTCCTGTTGCAGTATTATTCTTTATTCTTAGTTATACTTTCGTGTAATAATATTTACAATTTTGTTTATCAGCACAAATGTTGAATTTTGGTCGAATCGCGTATTATTATTAAGAGACATTATCCTATTGATAGAAATTCTTGAATGGGTGGAATACGAAAATATTTTCATCAGTATATGTGTTTAAAAATACATAAATATCTGTAAATATATATTTACATATTAATATATCCTGATTGTACGTATATGTACATATATACGAATATATCTATACTTATATATGTAACTTATATATGTATATATATATCTTTTTATATAAAGAATTGTATAAAGTATGTGCTATTATGTATGTTGTATATAGTATGATGTTGCATGAGTAGCTTACATTCTATATTAAACATTCCATCCTAGCCACTAATATTTCTAAACATATAAAGCAAATGAGGTAGTGCGACGATTTGAATCAAAAGTCGCATGAAATAGTATTGAATGTATTATAAAGTATTTTCGCCTATAATTACGATAACTACGATCTTTATATTGTTAGATTTATTTTGTTAATTATTATATTCAAAAGTATATATTTCCATTATAAAATTTCAATACTTTTATTGGTGAATGCAGAAAATAAATTGTAATTTGTGTATTCATAATTTGATTAAAATACCTTGAATAACTACCTTTTGGCTTAGAATGACTTCCGGTTCATATCTCTTTACTTCTTCAATCTATTCATTAAATCTATTTTTTAAACCGAAATATATAGTATATAAACGTTATTTCAAATACGAAAATATACAAATATATCGCTATAGACTGTTTATTTAAAAAAGACTAAGAATATGAAAAGCTATCAATGTATGTAATTACATTTGCCGCAAATACCCCACTAAGAGGTCGCAGAGAATTGTGGGCAATTGACGTACTTCCTTTATGCGCAATAGACATTTGGAAAATCGCGTACGATAAAAACCAAGGAATTGAATAAAAAGCTGTTATCCACTTTTAAAAATTAATATCCCGAAACGTTCGAATTGTTTCGCGTAGAATTTTGCGTGTCGAATCACGAGAAAAGTCGATTGAAAATTTGAAGACCGCTCGCAGCGCCATTGTGCGGTGCTCATAAGAATATTCCTTGTGACGCAATAGGAACTCGTCCTTTCCGTCGACCTACCGTGAGTGGAACATGTCGCATACGTCTGAGCGAAGGTAAGTTCAGTTTTTTCATGCGTAATTGAGAAATATGCGTGCTTTCTTATATTTCACTAATTTCTTGTTTACGTTGTGCCTCTGTAAATCTGGCGCGACGCGCGGCTGGACGTCAACACTTCACGATATATCCTTAAAAAATAGTGCCGCAATCAGCGAATGCATGGGACACGAGACTGACAACATGGCGTGCATTCATTTTTGTCACATTGTTCGCAAAATTAACGTTAATCCCTCGTACTTCTTTATTTTTATAACCTCTATAATTGTTGTGATTAGAAGTCATAATGGGTATCCATACGGTGGGTCGCCAAACTCTCAGAAAAATATATTTGAGAAGCTTTATTATAGGAACTGCATGCTCTCTACTCGTACTTGCAAACACGTTTTACTTTGCATTTAAAATTACGTAATAAAAAATAGATTTTCTTTGGTAAGACTAGTAAAAATGGTGCGAATCGAATAATGTTCAACAATGCTACATAAAATTATAGGTATTATGTCTCGTACAATCGAGACTCGTCTTGCTGGGGCATGCTTTCGCGTGAGTCACTGTCAACGCATCTATCAAGTCATCGATAAATTCATTATCATATCTGCAGGATGATCTAAAGGCATTGTTGATACATTTATAGGAAATCAGATACTTTTTAACGAGGAATTCCTACGTTATTGAGATAAAATACCTTTTAACATTCGTTGCGAAATTGAAATACTATGATGTCGGATTTTTACGGTTCAAGGTCGCTAACATTCAACATTATTTATACATTTGATTTTGGAGTAAACATATAATGCAAATTACTGGAACAGTTTATTCATTTCTGGTACCACTGATTAGAATTAAAAAACTAAATGCTACAAATGAAACAAATTTTTTTTAGATATATTCTATTGCAAATTATACAGTTATATATTTAAAATAAAAATCAAATTTTTATTCAGATGTATCATTTGTATTTCAGAAACGATGATCAATGGGCAGGAGATTCCAAAAATGGTCCTAGTGAAAGTGATCAACAGACATACGATGGCCCCCCTGGCATGGAGCCCGATGGGATCATCGAATCCAACTGGGATGTTGTAAGTTAACGATTACAATAGATCACTTATTCTTAAATTTTGAGTTTAATAGGATATCCTCTTAAAAGGATTGATTGTTATAATAATTTTGTGCTTTGTATATAAACTAGGTTGTTGACAACTTTGATGAAATGAACCTAAAAGAAGAATTACTACGTGGTATTTATGCTTATGGCTTTGAAAAACCATCTGCAATTCAACAACGTGCCATTCTGCCATGTATAAGAGGACACGATGTGATTGCACAAGCACAATCAGGTAACAAAATCAAAATATATGCTTTGATATAGAAATAACAGAATTTCGTTTCTAATTTGTGGAATGTTCAACAGGAACTGGCAAAACTGCTACATTTTCAATTTCTATTTTACAACAAATTGATACCAATATCAAGGAATGTCAAGCGTTGATTCTAGCCCCAACTCGTGAACTTGCTCAACAAGTAAGTACAATAAAACTCTAAATGTTAGCATATTACTAACTGAACAAAACACATTTTAAATAAATATGGCTGAAAAGATATTCCAAATTAAAGTAAATTTTGAAAATCAAAGATAATATAGTGTTGTGAACCAAAATAATAAGATATAAATCTAATAATCTATCTTATAAATCTAAGACAAACAGGTTTTCTTATCTAAACTAAACTAAAAAAAATCTTTTTGTTCTTTTTTCAGATCCAGAAAGTTGTTATTGCTTTGGGAGATTTTATGCATGCAGAATGTCATGCATGCATTGGAGGTACCAATGTACGTGAAGATATGCGAAAATTAGAACAAGGTGTTCACATAGTAGTTGGTACACCTGGTAGAGTTTATGACATGATTAGTCGACGGGCATTACGGGCCAGTAGCATCAAACTGTTCGTATTAGATGAAGCTGATGAAATGCTCTCTCGTGGTTTCAAGGATCAGATTCATGATGTATTTAAATTATTACCTCATGAAGTACAGGTATATAAAAATCCGATTGTATTTTTTATATTACTGATAAAATTACTCTTGAATAAATTATTTAGCTATTTAAAAAAAATCATGAAAAATATTGAACCAATGTAGTAAAATTTTTGTTTTTCAGGTTATATTACTATCTGCTACTATGCCGACAGATGTATTAGATGTGTCTACATGCTTCATGCGAAATCCAATTCGTATTCTGGTTAAAAAGGAAGAACTTACACTAGAGGGTATTAAACAGTTCTTCATCTACGTTGAACGTGAAGAATGGAAGTTTGAGACTCTTTGTGACTTATATGATACATTAAGTATCACCCAGGCAGTTATCTTTTGTAACACGCGGCGTAAAGTAGATTGGTTAACGGAGAGTATGCGCACCCGCGACTTCACAGTCTCTGCTATGCATGGAGACATGGAACAAAAAGAGCGAGATCTCATTATGAGGCAGTTCAGAACTGGATCATCTCGTGTCCTCATAACAACTGATCTTCTAGCACGTGGTATTGATGTTCAACAGGTTTCTCTTGTCATCAATTATGATTTACCTTCCAATCGCGAAAATTACATTCACAGGTAAGTTATTATATATGTTTATATATATTATATTACTTTCCTATAAATGATTTTAAATTATCTTTCAAATTTCATTAATTTTAAAAATTATATTTTTGAAAAAACATACAATTTATAAAAACTGAAAACGTTATGCACTGAAACTATATTACAGAATCGGTCGAGGTGGTCGTTTCGGTCGTAAGGGAGTGGCAATTAACTTGGTAACAGATGACGACAAACGAACATTGAAAGATATTGAACAATTCTATAATACTAGCATCGAAGAAATGCCAATGAATGTCGCAGATTTGATCTAAATCTGACTATTGGCTATAATTCATTATAATTAAAAAAAAAAAAAATAAAAGTAAGTGACATACGGAGCTCTCAGCTGATCTCTCATGGTGTGTGAGTATATATAGAGTGAGTTGGTGAACTATAATCGCTTATGTAAACGCGATCTACCGAAATATTCCAAACGTTCTCATCTCAATTTCATTTTATAACAGTAGATTACAGAAATAGTTATTCGTTACGCTAGACAAAAATTAGTACTATTATATTATAATTATTACAATTATCACTACGGATACTACTATATTTCTATTCCTATCACTATTGCTCTTAACTATTATTACTGTTACTGGTATATACTCTTGCGCTACTCTCTTCTTGTTCAATATTTATTACTACTACTTCTCCCGCTGCTATTCCTACTATATAACTCTCTATTCTTAATATCTCTCGTATCCCTGTTATTATTATTATAAATACCGGGATTGCTGCAGTTTCTAATACGAATTAATAATATTACCGCATCGATAAAGGTACAATCATTGCGATTGCTACTAGCGTGAGGTGAAGAAAGGGAGAAACGAAACTGAGAAGTGAGGCAATTCAGCCAACTTCGGTTGTTCCTTTACCTCTCTGTTCTTTCAAGTCAGAGATATCCTACATTTTGTGTAAATGCATCTACAATCTTATCTAACGTGCCCAAATTCTATTATGAGTTTCAAATCTTTTATTTTGAATCATTTTATTTCGTCTTCTTTCTTATACAACATTTCCAATTGGATGATTTATTCTATGTTCTGTTGTCCCTCTTCAACACTTTTACCACCGCGATTACAACGTGTTTGTCTAGGCAGAGGTTTAGTTGGGTATTGGAAGGGGTACTTTAATCACAAGCGTTGTCGAAGGAGATGTACATTCAGACTTTAGATGATATGAATTTTTTGTATGTCCCAAATCCTAAGTACATACCTTCATTAAGAAATAAAGTGTTTGACCTTTTAATTGTGGTTTTTGTTATTGCATTCACTATTATATGCTCGAATACTTTAAAAAAAATTTTCGTTTTATAATGGAAAATCCAACTAAAAGGTATTTTTAAAACGAAAAAAGAAAGGAAACCGCGTGTAAATCATTACGGTTACAATAAATTTCATTACCAGATCATATCGAGAACAAGTTCTACGAAACTGTACGCATTATCGAAAAAGTTCTCACAGTTTTTATTTGTATTTGCAGGCAATTTTGAGCGGTCCAGAAATGAGGGAGATATTTTTGGAAATAAAGACCAAATTTCGTGATTCAATATAGAAGTTTTGTAAATCGATTACCTCTCTAATTTCCTGCCCTTTGCAGGTTATTATATAAACAATATAATATAAATGTCGAATTATTTATACATACATTTGCATTATTTATTTTTAATAATTATAGAAGTCAGATTTTTACACGATCATTTTATATCTTCTCAATAAAAAGGCATATGAAAATACTTTTCATTCATTAGTTGTGTATTTGTGTGCTTTGTTGGGAATAAAATTTTAATGTTTCGTATATTGTGAGAACTTTTATAATAAATATATATATATATATAAATATATATATATATTATATCTTCGTGAAGAAAGTGTGTTACGAATAAATATCCGATTATTCAAGCACAGTCTTATTTTGTAACGTCGACAATAGTTTTCGAAAGTTGGAGTAATTTCATGCAATTTTTCATTTCGACATTTAATATTATTAGAACAATTCAAGGTATCTTTTCTTCCGTATGTATAAGTATTTTGAAACTGCTCGAATTTCCGAAAACTGTTCATTATTCAATTCTGTAAATATTACAAATGATTTTTTCGAATGGTGGACTATTGTGAGTTCTATTGTATTTATACATTATAGAAAAACAATATGGTTAAATTGAACTCTTAAAATCAACACAATAAATGTGCATGTCGTTTACATACAGCCATCGCATCACTATTTTTACTTGTCTATATTTATTTTAAAATACTCATGTTTATTTTACATTAAGTGGATTATTAAGCATGTTAAGATCATAATAAGGGTTTGCGATAACCGTAAATCCTCAATATAACATAATAATCCAAGAGCCCTAAGATCCACCTTCATTTCAACGTAATTATTTACTTTATCCAAACGATATATAATAATGTGTATGTAACAACAAATAATCGATACGACTGTAATGTATTGGCACAAATTAATATTAAAATGAATCGAAAGCCCGAATTGTTCTCAAGCCTGTTGCTTTAATAATTTCAATATTAGAAATTTGCTTTTAGAAACTAAGCATTCAAAGTCTGATTTCTTTCAATTCCAAGTGACCCTTAAATATCGATGAGTAACTAACCAAACGATTATTGATTGCTAACTTAAATTATGGAAATGTCGCTGTATTTCTCAAGAGGAAGTGTACTAAGATATGGTATGTCCAATGATGCATTGAATTTCGATAATAATACGAAGTTTCTCCTTCAAACATATACAATTGTTTAAAAAAGGAAGAGTTAATTATGAATTTTTAATCGGGTTTATATGTTTGCTATTTGTATTGAAAAAGTCGAAAAGGAGAAAGTTCGAGTAATATATTCTAATCTTCTCCGTTAAGAAACATTCTGATCTTGAACTAAAAATTCTTCAAATCAAAAATAGCAAATGATTCGGAAGTGTGTCGCTGCCACTATAGTGGAATACGCTGGACGTGAACACACTTTTATTTACATTTTTTGAACCATATACATACTGATACCAAATGTATTAGTAAAATGTGTAATCGTGTTTCAAATATAATAACGAGAATTGGAATAATATTTAAAAAAGACATGAACACGATTAATTTATTAAAGAACATTTGATAACATCAGTAGGTACATTATCTTTCTTTATTCGTTTAACTTTAATTTAATTATAATAAAAATCTTTTATTTAAGAAAAGTATGAGTACATCTATAACAAAAAATTAAATTGTTATATATTTTTAATATCTACAATGGTCAGTCATAAGCTACTTAAATTTTTGTGGCTTTAGTATCGTTAAGTAATACATATAAATTAAAAACATAAAGCTTTTCATTTGTTAAATGACATTCAAATATTATTGATCTTTTCTCGTTATGCCAAATCTTTATATTTAGATATTTGTAAATATTTATATTTTGTTTTTTTTTATATAATTAAACAAATTTAATTCCGCAATAATTTAAACTAAATAGATTAAGTACTTGATAATACAATATCTGAGAAAATAAAAAATATTGCAGGAATAATAATATGGCAAGGAATAAGGATATTATCATATACCTTTATTCTATGCATTAAAAATGTATATGATTAATAATGGAGAACTTCTTATATTATACTTTTGTTTATCTCTAAATAGTTTAATCAATAATTTAACGTTGCATAAGAAATGCGATCACTAACAAAAAATACTTAACTGCACAACTAGCTTCATAAAGTTACATATATCCAAATTATTCAATTTTTCTTCAACAAAGTCATGATTATTAGAAAATTATTAAAAGCTCCAATTTTAAATAATGATTATTAGTAAAAGTAGAGTAACTATATACCATTGAACGTTTAAAATTAAATTTCGATTAATATTTAAATATTTTTGTTGTTTATAATATATTATTTATTGATTAAGATTGAAAAACATATTAAAATTTCATAATAAAGTTATATATTAATAAAATCTCGAATTTCATTTCTTTTAATATAATCTTGCTGCATAGATATGTAAATACATAGAATACTCGTGTTTACAATATGTAAAACGCGTTATAACATTTGAATACATAATTACTAATTACCGTACTTGAATTTAATTTAGTACAATGATAACACGATAGTTCGCGCCAATGATTGGTAATGCTTTGGGTAGTATTTCTGTAGTATCTTAGAAGTGGGGAGAACTTGTGAACTTATATAAAACAATTACTTATCGTATGGTGAGACTTTGTGTTGTGAATTGTTGTGTTCGTTCGTGATTCGATCTTTTAGGTTACACGTATGTTATACTTTGTTTATACTTAATCAATTTTATTGCGTCCGTGCAATATTCTAACCGACTTAAACAGTGGGCATGAAATTCGTTCAATATTCGTATCAAAACCAATTCTTTTAATGATTCTGTTTATATTTGTATCTCCAAATCGAGCATAAGGACTTCATCATTTTTTGTAAATTACGCAGTAAAATTATTTGTCAACAGCCATAGCGAATCGTTTTACAAACCTTATATTTATGTTTTATTTAAAGCAATTTTCCTGAACTGAAATTCTTTTTATTCTTGAAAAAACTGAAAGATCAAGCATGTCTGCATCACCGATTGCTAGGCAAGCTACCCAGAGCCAAAACATACCTTCCAAACGAGTCGTTATTAACGATCCCAGTCAGTTACCTATTGATTATTCATCTACCCCCGGTGGAACGCTTTTTTCAACTACGCCCGGAGGTTAGTGTCTTTCTTCTTTTACGTTACTAATAAACTATTAACCCATTAAACAATAATTTAGGTAATTATATTGATCAGAATATATTCCACCAATGTTCATGATTTTCAAATATGATGTCAAGGTCATGATTTTGAGTAATTCTATTTATATGTATGTATATCGCTGTCCGGATCTAGTTTCCGAAGTACTCATAAAAATATTTTTGATATTTTTTACTTTGACGTGGATTAGGTCTTGATTATATTGTGGAGTTATAATGTACACATATCAACATAATTTCATTAAATAGAAAATATTAATGTAATTGTATAAACTTTATACATTTTTCAATTGTTTACATCCATTTTATTAGTTTTCATTCTTGTAAAACATCTTGTACTTTGTATTATGTTTATAATTTATCATGTTCTAGTAACTTTCTTTTGGGAGTGTATTTCATCTTTTCTTAAGAAATGAAGTTTATTGTAGTTCAATTATATTCTTACAATTAAATTTAAATTTCAGTTATTAGTTAAACATCACAATATTTGTTCAAAATTCAAATATGCTACATACGATTATATAAATTGGTCTGGACACTCGGTAGAGAAAACCATTCGAAAATTGAGTCGTCACTAGTTGTAAAAAATTAACAAATTCTGCGTTTGTACGAAACAAACAGAGATGAGTACAGTATCTCTATCTCTGTCTGAGACAATTATACCATGTCATGCATGCGCAGAACGAGAATCTTCTTGTCTCCCATGTTGATCTTCCACAATTAATCACAACTCAATTTTCGGACGGTTTTCCCTAGACTTCAGTGTAGTGTAGTGCCAAGACCTGTTTATAATATGATCGTGATAGTACATATGAGAGATTACTATAATTATTAATATAATTGTATATAATTTTTTGAGGGAGCGTAGAGAATATTCTCATTATATAAATAATTAATAAATTTTTTCTAGGTACACGTATTGTTTATGAACGTGATTTCTTGATGAATTTACGAAATTCTCCCATATCACGAACACCACCACGAAATATGCCATCCATACCCGGAGAGTTATTAAAAAATACATCAAATCTCTCAACATCAACGAAAAATCAAATTAACAAAGGTCAATACTTATTTCATTAGGTTATCACAAGACTACTAGTAAATTATAGATTTTTATGTATTTGTAGGAAATGTAAACGTGCAAAATTGCATGGTGTTCATGAAAATATCTGTTTGTATAAACATCTGCAGTCTAATTGCAATAATTTGATTTAGATTTTGGATAGATTATGCCATAACTTTTTGATTGTAACATGTTACAGATACTCCAGTAATTGAAGAATCTGCAGAACAATTTGAGATGGACATGTAAGAAACTGTAATTACAATATATTCATGTTGTGCCAGCCACTTTAATGAATAGTAAGAATCAATATATAACAGAAAAATATATTAGCAATTTTTATATAACTATGTGCCATTAGGGGCCTTAAATAGTAATAAGTGTTTATAACATCTAAAAATGTTAAATGTAATTGATATAGTTACACTGATTCATTGCATTATCATCTTATATGCTAATAAAGGTGACAAAAAATTTTTATCAGTACATTCATGTTTGCACTATTGGATGTATTACTTTATAATTTCACATATATTTGTACTACATGAATAAATGATATTTTGATAATAAAAGTTGTTACCTGTGAATCATAGTTATAGACTTATTAGGGAGCTATTTTAGTCCATAGAGAGTTTATTTTTGTTATGTAAACTAAGTTATTTGACTTTTATTTCAATATAATGTTTTAATATGATTAAATATTTTCACAATTAAGTTTTATACAATCGAATTTTGTAGATTAAAGTATATCATAAAACAGATGAAAAATCTTCAATCTTTAACATTTATTTTATATAACATATACATACAACATAACAATTTATTTTATAAAAGGAATATGGAAAATTTGATAAAAATAAAGAAAATCGAATATATATTTTTCTTTTCCTATGAAAACGATATTTTAGAAATTCAAAATGTTTAACAGATTTAATCATCATGAAGATTTAATTATAAGTTATAAATTATATTAAATATCAATATATAAAATTCTATGTATTTAAATATACATTTGTTTCTTTCATATAAAATAATTTCGTATAAAATATTACATTTTCATTTATTAAAGAGTTAAAACGAATATATATTATATATTTGTCAAAGATTAGCCAATATTTGTATAACTATTATATTGTTATATCACATTAACATAGCTTAATAATGTATATTTTATGCCATTAAAGTGCGTTAAAATTCAGGTAAATATATTGTATGCATTTTCTCCAGTTGTGTTTTGAATTTTGAATATTCTGTCTAAAATAACTTTCGCCACATTGACTTTTGTTCCATTATTGTCATAATCGTTGTAATAAATTAGTTCGCAAAGATCCGCACATTCTGGATCAGCATCTATTAACTGTTTCAATTTTTTATAAAATTTCTGTATGATACATTTGCAGTATTTCTTATAAACATTTGTTTCATTGTGAGCATGTTTTTGAACTTCATGGAAAGTTAACAAAGGCGTTGCACCTTCTACCACTATGTAGAAAGGTGTCTCTAATCTTAGCCCATTGGGATAAATTTTGTATACACTGTTGTGATATGTTCGCCCTTTAACTCCTGCTCGATTCAACACTTCCTTCTCTAAATTCATTGCACTTTCCATCCAATGATATGAAGCTTCTTTAAGATTAGGTGGAATGTACGATGATGAAGGAATTAAAATAAATAGTTTGTGAACACTTATATATATACCATGATTGTCTTCAATATTTTCTATTTTTTCAATTAAACCTTTGTTAATAGATCCTGTTGAAGGAAGTATTATTCTTAAATATCCATAATAATAACTGTATGCCATAGAGGTTCCATAATCCAAACCTTTCATTGACTCAATATCAAAAGTATTTTCTTTTCTCTTTTCATATGAGTTTGTGATTAGTAATAATATATATGAAATTCCAGAGCATATAAAACATGTGAATGCGTCAAATATTTGTATGTAGTTATAAATATAATAATATTTACTCATGATTAGCATAATCAAACATATTAAAGAAATGTAAAACAACATATTTAAACTAAATTTAATATCACTGTTTTTCACGACCAAAATATTCATGCTATGGATACATTGAAATAAAATAGCTAAAATCTTCAAAACTATGAAATAAAACAATATAACAAAGACATAATTTTCTACAGTAGGTATACTTCTATTTGTTATTTCCAAGTATATTTCTGCTGTAATGCTTATAACAATGCAATTCATTAGAAGTAAGTATATATACTCATCCATTTTAATGTTTTTCATCAATATCAATATGTTACGTTAATTGAAACTGCAAATGATAAATTGAATAAGTAAAATCATCTATGATAAATTTACTTATTGCTATTTATTACTAATCAGTATTTCAATAAATTTACCTGTTTGATTATTAATAAGATTTTTTTGAGTCCTATGTGAATCTCCTTTGTAACTCAACATTGCCAAATGACGAATACGAGTAAGAAAAAGATAAATAATTTTTCAAACTTCTCTTTACTATAGATAAATAGATAAAATAGATAAAAAATAGATAGGTAGATAAAAAAAGATTAAAGATTTGAAAAATGCTTTGTTTAAGCAACAGGATAGACTTAATATACTTATATATATCAGGTAACAAGATGAAGCGGGAACAAAACAGAGACAGAGATGTAGCAAAAGAGGAAGAGAAAGGTAGTTCACGTATCGCTAGGTCAGAGCGCTGTTAACGTAAGTGAAACAAGTCGATTGACCTACGGTACAATCGAAACCATGTACGATCGATAAAGTCCATTATCTGGAAACATTTTCTGCAAAAATTACTTAGCTCTTTCCATGCCTGTTTATTTCCCGAGTAGAGTACGGTATAAGTGTAAATCGGTCACAAGTGCATTGCAAGCTAAAATATCCTAGCAGGTGATTTTTGTTGCTGATTAGCGCCATATCCCACAATGGACCAATCAGCTGCTCGGTAAACCGCCGTAAAACCTCGAATCTGTCCGCAGACGAATGACAACAAAAGAGACTGATAGAAGTCGCGCGCGCGAGACAGTGGATTTTTTTCGCGACTCCGCCGTGAAGATTTGCGGTTTTTTCCATTTTGTTGCTCGCCGCGAATAACGTCGGTTTGACCGGTGGTGAAAGCGTCGAGGAATATGAAGAGAAGAAATGTCGAGTGTGGTAAGCTTCGGAGGCCCTTGAAACGCAACAAGCTCACTGAGGGGATCTACGGAAGGTAAGTTTTCGCCGCCATATGTCTTCTCATTTGGAACGGCTAATTTTAAAAATAACCAAAAATCTGACCGATCACCCCTCGAGATATTTGTCAAATCGTCGATCGAAAACTGTTACGTACTTTCGGGTTGATGCGAAGTGCGAAACCTCTGTGATACATTGTGTCAATACGTGATCATCCACCGCTTCCCAGAAGCTGCTTGACATTTCACTAAAACCTTGACCATGTGTGCCTGTTTTTTACAAAAACATTTGTTGAGTTACATCTTTATAATTGTTTTCTTACCTGCATTCACAATCTTTCGCCTAACGTGCCATGTAATTGAAAGATTTTTATGTCTAACCACATCAAAGAAATTTGCCAGTTCAACAACTTTTCCTTCAGTTATTCCCTTTTCTTAAAAACTATATTAATATTGGCTTACATCATATAATTATATAATTTAGATTTGTTATTTATTTTATTTAGTTAAGAGGTGCTTATTTTGTTTTGTCGCAGTGTTTATTTCCTTTGAAATATTTTATACTTTTGCGATTGTAGATCTTTAATTATATAATTGTGTTACAAGAATGATAATAAAATAATGAAATTTTTTATTTCAGTACTTTACTTTATCTAAAATTTCTCCTACTATGGGCCATGGTAATTTTGGCAGACTTCATTTTAGAATTCCGATTTGAATTTTTGTGGCCGTTTTGGCTACTTCTCAGAAGTGTTTACGATTCTTTTAAATATCAAGGCTTGGTAAGTAATCCACATTTTAAAACACGTGTGCTTATACCTAATTTTAAAATAACATAGACTATTATATTTCCAGGCCTTCTCTGTATTTTTTATTTGTATTGCTCTTACATCAGATATGATTTGTTTCTTTTTCATACCAGTACATTGGTTGTTTTTTGCTGCTAGCACTTATGTTTGGGTACAATATGTTTGGCATACAGGTAAATATAAACATATCTTTAGGTTGTTTGAATTAATTTAATTGCAATGAGATTGATATAAATATATTGTATATGGAACAGATAAAGGTGTGTGCCTTCCAACTGTGATGTTATGGTTACTATTTCTATACATAGAAGCAGCAGTTCGATTAAGAGATTTGAGACATATGCCCTTTCATTTGGATCTTTGTCGACCATTCGCAGCGCATTGGTATATATATTTTTGTTATTATACTCTCTTTCCTTTCTTTATTTATGCATTTACTCTTTGCCACTGAATATTGTAAGATACACTTCAGAGGAACAATTTTATGACTAACAAAAAAATAATAACCTATTCCTATGTTACTGTACAAAATTGCTATTTTAATGTTGAATTGACAATATCAATTCAAAAGTAATAATAAAAATAATTATAAGTAATATCTTTTTTCAGCATTGGTTATCCTGTAGTTACATTAGGTTTTGGTTTTAAGAGCTACATTGGCTACAGAATGAGACAGGTAAATCTGTAATAAATACATAATCATTCAAAGACTATTTTTAAACGTTTTATTTACATGACTGCCTTTTTTTGCCAGAGAAAACAAAAAGATGTAGCGAAGGAGAATGAATTCTACCTACAACTACTGCAGCAAGCACTGCCTCTAGAGCAACAAACTTCCACTACGATACAACCGATACAAGTTCAATCACAAACACATATTACAACACTAGAACAACATGTTAAATCACAAAATAATAAATTAAATTTGCAGTGCAATCCAAGTCCTGAAAAAAGTAGAGGTAGTTTGTATTTATTTTCAACTTTTAATATATATAATAGCAAAATAATAATATAGCTTAATCATAAAATGCATTGTAGGAAGCAGTAATAATTCTATAGAAACAGGTGTACAAAATGGTAGTTTACATATAGGGACACAAATTACATCAACAAACCAAAATGTAACAACAAAAAATAATCATAGGAAGTCCTTAGACAAAGGTGAAAAGCAAGAAGAGCAACATAATAAGCATAATGTAACAAATGTATCACAATCTGATAAAAACGATAAAAGATTTATACATACAAATGGGAATACTGTTAATCACAGTGATATGCAGTTCATTGAAAGAGTTGGGTAAGTTGGGTGACATGTGTATCTTGGAAACTAAATAGTATCCATATTATGTAAAATAATAAAAAATTCGTTAACAGTTTAAATAAAAATTACAGATCAATAAATGATTTTGATGCCAATGAAATAGAGAAAGATAAATTTATTAAAGGTGCAAATTGTGGGCATACTACAATAAAATCACAGACTAATGGTTCTGTAACAGGAAAGTGGAATAATATAAAAGAAAATCGGGAATCATCGTCCACTGTTAATACTCAACGTGAACGAAAAACACGTCAAGTGAAAGCCACGGTTGATAATATAACTGAGCAGCAAAAGCAGCAAGACGAATATTGTCAAAGGTATGTTATTTACATCAATTAGTGAATTAACAAAAATGTTATTTTATGCAACATATTTTTTGTGCTTCTTCATTTCTATATCCATATATAAAATTGAGATTTAATACTGTGTATACTTATACTTTCTTTATTCCTTAATCCTTATGATTTTCTTAAAATGTAATTGTTATTTTTATTGAATTGAAAGATATGCAACTCTATATTATCAGATTTTTTCTTTAGTGTAATATAATATCGTTTAAATAGGTTACTGATGTGTCGCAGGCTTGAAGCTGACATAAAACGCTTGAAGTCAGATCTGCAATCCAGTCGACAACTGGAACAGGAACTTCGTTCCCAGATTAGTTCTCTACAAAATGGAGAACGTCAAGCTAAGGGTGATATACAGCAACTTCAACACGATAACGATCAGTTGCAAAGCAAGTGCGTATACACACACACACACAGTATCATTTCTATATTGTTAAAATTGTACTTAAAAGATCTATTCCAATACACGTATACGCGTAGATATTTTTACACTATTAAATATATTTTTATTTATATACATAAATATTTTTATTTTGGATAGATTACATGGATTAGTAACAGCTCGTCAATTAGATAAACAAACAATGTCTTCGTTGGAAAAACGAATCGCAGAAGAGCGGAAACAGCGCACTGCTTGCGAAGCATCTTTAGTTTCTGAGAGGCGAGCACGACGAGCTGCAGAAGAAGCACGATCTGCAATTCCGCCTCCACCTCCGCCACTTATTAGACAAGAATGTACAGATACTTGTAAAAGTCGTAGGACACAAATGGAACAAGATCTCAAAAACTTACGGCGAGAACTTAAAACGAAGGAAGAGAGGTAAAGATGTTGAAATAATAAAAAAAATTTTATGTAAATAAAATTTTAAATATAAATGTAAGCTGACACATCGGAATATAAAATATCTATCGGAATATAAAATAATATCTATAGTGTCGTAAATATACTAGGTAATAGTCAAAATTTCATTCAAATGTAAATAATTAAATTAAGTTCGAGGGTTTTTAATATGTTAATAATTAAATACTTTTTTGTATTGTAAATTCACTAAACTATATATCAGATGTTAATTTCTTATATATTTTCTTAGGTGCAACATATTAGAAAAAGATGTAACTCGTTGTAAGGAAAATCATAAAGAGTCTGAAATTTTACTCGGTGCACTAAATGCGCTACAAGATAAAACTGCGCATTTAGAAGACAGCTTAAGTGCAGAAACGCGCATAAAGCTTGATTTATTTTCTGCACTTGGTGAAGCCAAGCGACAATTAGAAATCAGAGAAAGTAAGTAGGATTCGATTTACAATTATAAATCTTTAATATTTTTGGTAATCAAGGAAATGTATAAACTTAAGTGGGTCCGAAGTATCAATTTCTCAAACATAGTTTTATTTATATAAACGATTTTAGTATATGTATATTAAATTGATATATATATGTATTTATGTACGTATGTGTATGTTAAATATCGCATATTGTTGAATCAGGTTTAATTAGATCTCAAGAAAAGGAAATTGAAATGTTAAAAGCAAAAATAGCTCAAGATTTAGCTGTGATGCCACAAGATACATTTGGACCTGCGCCAACCTGTGCGACATCTAAGCTTCGATTAAATAATGAAGTACGAGTAGCAGGTACGAAAATACGTTCAAATGAAAGTCTCTGTCCAGGGTGTACAGTTTCAAATTTGGATCCAAATGCGACAGCGTATACACCTAAGAATTCCCTAATAGCGTCTACCGAAGCTTGAAGAAACAATTTTTGGCCACATTATGACTTCACAAAAGTTGGGTATATATTTCATAAACATGTTTCAGTCTGTTTCTCAATGGAAGTATAAATATGAATTTATGTTTTATACGTGCATATACTTGTTTTATTGAAATCAAAGTTTTGTATTTAAAATCCGTAGGACTAATGAGACGTAAGATCTTTTTAACACTTATAATGTAGAATATTTGTGTAACATTTGCTTAAAAAACGTGGCTCATGCTATAAATTTGTCAAATTTCATAACAGGAGATATCTTTTATAAATGTCTTCCATGGGAGGCTTCTAGAAACATGTTTTATATCGTACTTGTCACCTGAATTAATACAACGTTATTAACTACTTATGACCATGGGACGTGACTAATACTAAATTAAAAAAGTATTTAAAAATTAGTTACGTTCTGTTAAACGTGCTGTAGGTCGATCTAACAGGTACCTTCTTCATCTTTTTGGTACTTGCAACAGATGTATTAAGAAGAATTAAAACTAAAGTGAGGCAACAGTGACATGCGTAATCTAGTTATAGATAATTATTAAATTTTAAATTAAATTTAGTACTTCTATTTAGATGGTAACGTTTGATAAATTTACTGTTGACGTTTAACAGAAAACTGTATATTTTACTAATTTTTTATAGCGTTCGAATTATATCGATTTTCACATAACACTTTCTATTTAAAAATACCATAATGTAGATATAAAGAGCTAGAAAAACGATATAAATTGGATCGACGAACGACTAGCGGCATATCTTATTTGTTAGAAGCATAGAAAAATTGAAGACTCAATCTGTATTTGATCCTCCTACAGCATATGCCTAAATCTATGACGACTTGTTATAGACACAAATCTTGTTCAAGTCGTAATCCGAAGCTAGTCCAGCATACAAACTGTATTTAATGTCTTTGGCAAATGAAGCCATTTTAAGTCATGTGATCATCCAAAACCAGCCATTAATACACATTGAAAAACCTGCCGTTATCATTTGAGAGGATTGATGTAAATGTTAGAAACGCCAAATTTATTTTGAAATAATCGCCAACGTATTGATTCTCTCTCTCTCTCTCTTTCTCTCTCTCTCTCTCTCTCTCTCTTTCTCTCTCTCTCTCTCTCTTTTTCTCTCTCTCTCTCTCTCTCTCTCATATTTCTCTACATTTTTTATATTTTTTAAATGTCTCTGTAAACCTTTTTAGTTTAGTGGTACAATTGTGTATTGGCTTTCGAACGGTGCGAAATAAGTGTTAATGTTTCATAATGATTTTTTGAAACGTGTACAGTGTTTTATGTGATAGATAGAAATTTTGTAAACAAAGGAATTTTTAAGTTAAGTATATTATAATTGGTAATGAAGGGATAGATTTATTTTACCCAATTTGTTTGATGAGCTTCAAGAGATAAACTAATGTGTAATGCCACGCGCGCGTTTATTTATGTACTAAACTGTTAAATCGTACATATAGGTAATCGAATCATTTTTCCAAATTGAACTTCTAATTTTTAATAGCGTTATTAATATTGGAATTATACGGTTTTTCATTGAGCAGTCTGGAGGAATGAAACAAAGATTTTTTTTTTAATTTATCCGCAAACGTCTTCCTTTCACACATTTGATGGATACATTTAATGTATATAATGTGTGTCCCTTTTATAATACTATAAGTTTCGCTATTATCAACCAGCGATGATGTAATTTAGTAAAAGTTGATTATCATTGACTATTTATATAATATATATTACTTACGCGATACGTCGTTTCTCTTTCTCTTTCATCGTTTTTATACTACTTTTTACATACCTAATTTATAAGTTTAATATTGAAAACATTAAATTCATTTTTTATAATTTTTAAGAGTAATATATTTAACATCGAACGATGTGTATGTATAAGAATTAATTATTAACACTTGAATATTTTGTAAAAAAATAATTGAATTCTCTTTAAATCTTTTTCATTGATGAAATATTAAAAGATTAAGAACAACATTAGAGTTTATACCAGCATATTCTTTCTAAGATATAATAAACAAGTTAATTCCTTCACAAAAAAATAGTTGAGATGCAAGTTTTAGGAAAAGATGGCATTACGTATAAAAGATCTCTAGAAAAAGATGTGAATTTTATATATGCTTTAAATCCGCAAGAAAGCCAGTACCTGCTTGCTCCAATGAATATTAACTAACGACTGGTTGATATCATAAAAGTCATTCTTCCATGATTGTATATATAAAGCACTGTCATGACAATTTATTAATAACATAGTGGATCATGACCAACTAGTCAAATGAATTTCTATAAGCACAAATATTTATTAAATATCTAATATTCATTTGATATTTCTGTCCTTACATGAAAAAGCAATAACAATTACTGTTTCTTCTCATTAATTAAAATTATAAAAGATTTATCGATATTATCATCAAACTGTTAAGTTTATTAATTAATTTTGTGTTTCTTGGATGATCCACGTACTAAATATAATTGCAAAATGTTAATGCACAATGCATATGTTATAAAACTATTTTTATTTTACATTAAAATGTGGAACTTTCATCATTTTTGCTTAAAAAATTAAAAGCATATCAATACAAAAGTCATATAACTCTGAGAAAACCTATGCTTCATATTTCTTTTTTATTTTACTATATAAACAGTGCTGATCTTTTTTCGTTCCTAGATTTACATAAAAAATATTAAAAATTTAATAATTCACTGATGTTGGCAATTAAACTGTAGGGGAATAATGTGCTTACTTTAATTTTGTTAATGCTTCTTTATATAAGATTTATAAAGGAAACGATACAGTTCATTTTACACACGCTAAAATTCGTTATTCCATCAATAATTATCATCCGACTGGTATGGAAATTTGTTTTATCATTAAGATTAATTTCTTTATAGTTAAGATCAATCAGACTTGTGTCTATGTCAACTTGTATCATTATGTGCATAAGCCTTTATAATGTAATGAAACAGTGTAAATAATTACTTAAAATAGACTAAACGCAAAGCAAAACTTACTAAAATTGTTTGGGCACTTGCGTAGCATAGTTAAAGCACATTATATAAAATTAATTAGTTTAATTTATTTTAAGTGAAAGCTCTATTAACTCATTTATGATCGTAATTTTTTAATCGATTTTCTAATCATATTATTTTAAGTCAAATTTGAAATTCAGTAAAAATTAAATTGAAATTGATTGCTTTCAATATACATCATTACTTTACCATAGTAGCAAAGCAGAATCAGTATTATAACAAGAAATGTTATGATAAATAATGAATTAAACGAATTAAAAATATTAAATAAAATATAGTAATTTCTAAATGATGTTTCAACTTAATAGAAATTATTTATCAGATAAATCATTTAAAAGATAAATAAAGAGAATATTATGTAAATGAGGTAAAAAAGACATTGAATTTTTGTTAATTACCTTTTTTTATTGAATATACATACAGTTGAGTGTAATGCATTACATAAAAAAGAAATTTGATAATGTTTTTAATGCAGAACATAAATGAGTTAATTTGACAAAAGTGTAAAATGCTTGTATGGAAATATCATTTTGAAAAACGAATGCTTTTCTTTTCAAGGTATTGCATTATCAAGTGCACATTAAGTACCTGATCAGGGGATGCCGTAATATTTGCGGCTAATATACTTATCATGGATTTAATTCCGCTATAAGGCTGGTTTCGCGAATATACTCTTGCTATTTAATTAATATTGTTTGTATTGAGTTATTGTGATATATTTTATAGGCATATATACACGCACATGACTTGGCACATGACATTCACATTCATGCTGTATATGTTCATTTAACTTTCATATAGCATATACACGTACATTTAATTGTTTGGTATAGAACAGCTTGGGGTTAGTTGTCTATGTTTAATTACATATGTAATAGCTTACGAAGAAGCATTCTTTCTATGTGACTCGGGGCGACTGCATAGTAATTGCACCTCACATTTGTAAGGAATTGTATGTTTCATGTCGTACTTTGTAGTATATTATTTGAAATGCATTGAAATAACTTCTCTATGACAATAACGATATATTGCTTTTGTTATGTATTTAAATGTTTTCGAATGAAGTATAAAAATTTGTTACAAAAAGTATTTTTTAATTTAAAAAGGAAAGTTTGATTTAGAATTCAAGTTAATTTTATGATAGAATATTGTATTGTGATTAATAATTGTGTTTTGCAACATAATATTTCTTTTTTATGTTTTTACATATTGTTATACTTTTGTAATTTTGTAATGAAATTATAGATATGATGAATAATTGACTAACTATGAAACAGTGAAGAAATTTAAAAAGGAAAATAATGTTACTGTATTTTAACAATCATATCTTGAAATTCTGATGTTGCTGTATGTATATTTTTCATACTACAGCTAAATAATAAAATATGAACATAATTTAAAACATGTACATATTTTTACAATCAAATTTTACAAAAATTGGATTGTTTGTTTCTATTTGAACGCTTTAAAGTGCGTTAAAATGTATATACATAATTATATTTATTACACGATTCGTGGATAAAATTTTTCTCCTAAAAATAGAACGCAAAGTACTTGATTCGTTATGTTTATGAAATTTTATAAATAAACAATTATAAAAACGAGATGTTAGGTGTACAGTATATAATGATCTTTTGGAAGTGTATAATATTGCACAGTCATGTAATGTACTTGTATATGCATGTGATGTATTAACGTCATCCCTATGATATTATGTGATTTTTATTGTAATAAATCAATTAATGAGTTTATTAAGATGAAATAATACTGCATTAGGATGATAATCATTTTAACGGTTTTTTTCCTTTTTTTAATTTATTTATTATCGTCACACGTATTGACAAGAAAGAAACAAGACTAGAAGAAATTTAATTACTTTAGGCAGTTTGCTATATTAAGACTTTTCATTCGTATTTTGTGGAACAAATAAAGTATTTTTTTTACTTCGTAGATGAGAAACGTGTAAAGTTTGACGGTGATATAAAGAAAGAGGAGATTGAAAAAATGTATTTTATCAAAAGTAACGTGCATCGTGATTGTGTGAGTTAATAAGAAATTATTAGATCTTTCTGAAAATGACCTTGTGTATGTGAAAATATGTTTTCAAGAACATGCACCGTTATGTTTTATAGCTGTACTATCATCGCGAACTATATGTTTAATACGATTCCTTAAAGCGTATTAATACATAATTGAAGGAACGTGAAACGTTTTAGATAGAAAGAATATACTTACATATATTCAGATATAGTGACAAATTTTTCTTTCGTTTTAAACAATTTCATAAGAATACAACGCGTAGCTTTCGCATCTCATTATTTGAAGACTACAGGGGAAGAACATGATAAGACATTTCCTATTTGTTTTACAGGAAATCAGTTTTAAAATTCAGTACATTGAGGATCGAATTATGTCATCAAAAAATACGATACTTTTAACAATGTTTAATAAATAAAACAATTTTCCAAGTCCCATTTTTAAAATTATATTCATGAAAATATGAATTTACATAAATATGTGCAGTCTATTTATCACGATTTTCTCCTGTGATCTTCGTTTATAATTGTACATTCGCTTCTCTTTCTCTCTTTTACTTTAGCGTTTAGATAATTTTCAAAATCCTGTTAAGGTATGTACCTTAAGAAAGAAAGAAAAATGAAAAAAATGATTTTGATCTCGTAATGTGATGACAATGCACGCAAATGCCCTTCTCTTCTCCATGCGGTCATATTTTAAAGAAAGAAAGGAAAACGCCTGATCTTTTAACGTTCTTCGTCATCCCATTCTCGACTATTTGAATCATTTCAGTTCGAATAGAATGGCCGGCATTACACTGAAATTGGTCTAGTCTGTATGAATGTGCGTAGTTCATTAAGGACAAGCTGAGTGGAACATTTTTACGATTTATTTAAGCGAACTTTGCGAAACAAAAATATACTTTATTAAACTCCCTGTCTCTCGCATAAAAGATATTTAAAAAAAGAAAGGAAACGTCTTGCTTGAAAGATGAGAATCTTTCGA